TGCTACCATGCCCGGCTAAGTTTTTTGATTTATTGTAGAGATGAGGTCTCGCCAAGTTGCCCAGGCGGGTCTCCAACCCGCGGGCTCTGGCAGTTTACTCACCTCGGCCTCCCAAAGCGTGGGATTACAGGCTGAGCCACCGAGCCCGGCCAATTACTATAGTCTTATAGTAAAGTTTGAAGTCTGGAAGTGTGATACCTCCTGTTTTGTTTCTTTTGCTAAGGATTGTTTTGGCTATTCGTGGTCATTTATGTTTACATATGAAATTCTGTATTAGAATGATGTTGGTAACTTAAGGGGTATTACATTTAATCTGTTGGTAACTTAAGGGTATTGCGTTGAATCTGTAGATTGCCTTTGGTAGGATGGACATTTTAACAATGTTGATTCTTCCTATTCATGAGCATGGAATATTTTTCCATTTGTTTGTGTCTTCTTGGATTTCTTTGAGCAGTGTTTTGTAGTTCTCATTGTAAAGGTCTTTCACGTCTCTGGTTAGGAAGATGCCGAGGTATTTCATTTTTGTGTGTGGCTATTGTGAATGGGATTGTTCTTTTAATTTGGGTCTCTACCTCCTTGTTGTTGGTGTATAGGAATGCAACCGTCTTTTGCACATTTATTTTGTATCCTGAGACTTTGCCAAAGTCTTTTATCAGTGCAAGCAGGTTTTTGACAGATTCTATTCAAGGTATAGGATCATATCATCAGCAAAGAGGGATAACTTGACTTCCTTTTTTCCTATTTGGATACCCCTGATTTCCTTCTCTTGTCCAATTACCTGATCTAGGACTTCCAACACAATGTTGAACAAGAGAGGTGAGAGTGGGCAGTCTTGTCTTGTTCCAGTTTTCAGGGGAAATGTTTCCAGTTTCTGTCCATTTAGCAATATGTTAGCTGTGGGTTTATCATAGATGGCACTTACTATTTTGAGGTATGTTCCTTTTATACCTAAGTGTTTGAGGGTTTTTATCAAGAAGCGATGCTGGATTTTTTTCAAAGCTTTTTCTGCATCTAATGCTACAACCATTTGGTTCTTGTTTTTATATCTGTTGATGTATTTAATTACATTTATGATTTTGCAAATGTTGAACCCACTCTGCATTCTGGAAATGAAGCCTACTTGGTCATGGTGGATGACTACATTTTTGAGATGTGTTTTTGGATATAATTTGCTAGAATCTTGCTGAAGATTTTGGATCTGTGCTCATAAGGTATATTGGCCTGTAGTTCTCTTTTTTTGTTGAATCTTTACCTGGTTTGGGTATCAGTGTGATATTAGCTTCATAAAACAAGTTGGGGAGAATTCCATCTTTCTCAATTTCCTTGAATATTTTAAATAGGATTGGTATCAGCTCCTCCTTGTATGTTTTGTAGAATTCTGCTGGAAAGTCATCTGATCCAGGACTTTTTTTTGGTAGGTATTTTTCGTATGACAGAGTCAATTTTCTGGGTTGTTATTGGCCTATTTAGTGTCTCAATGTCTTCTTGTTTCAACCTGGGGAGGTTGTGTGATGTCAGAAATTCCTCCATTTCATTTAGGTTATCAAATTTGTTTCCATATAGGTATACATAGTAATCTCTGATAACCTTTTGTATTTCTTTGGGGTTAGTTGTGATTTGATCTTTTGTGTTTCTGATTCTATTTACTTGGGCTTTTTCTTGGTCATTCTGGCTAGGGGGTCCATCAATCTTGTTAATTCTTCAAAGAACCAGTCTTTTGTTTTGTTGATGTCTTCTATGATAGTTTTGTCTTCTATGTCCTGTATTTGGGCTCTTATTTTGGTGATTTGAATTCTTCTGTGAAAGTTGGGGTTTCGGTGGTCTTCTCTTTCCAGCTCCCTTAGGTGATTTCTTAGGCTCTCCACTTGTGATCTTTCCTTTTTCTTGATGTGTGCTTGTAGAGATATAAATTCCCCTCTTAGAACTAATGTCATGGCATCCCAGAGGTTTTGATAAAATGTTTCTTCATTTTCATTTGTTTCCAGAAATCTTTTAATTTCTGCTTTGATTTCAGTGTTAACCCAATAGTTGTTCAGCATCATACTGTTTAGTGTCCATGTCTTTTTTGGCTTTGGGAAAATTTTTTTGGTGTTGATATTTATTTTTATTCCACTGTGGTGTGAGAATGTGCATGACAAGATTTCAACCTTGTGGAATTTGTTTATGCTTGATTTATGGCCAAGGATGTGATCGATCTTGGAGTATGTTCCATGTGGTGATGAGTAGAATGTATATTCTGTGGTTGTTGGGTGGAATAATCTGTAGGTATCTATTAAGTCCATTTGGTCTAGTATCAAGTTTAGCTTCTGGATCTCCTTGTTGATTTTTTTGTTTTGATGATCTGTCTAGGGCTGTTAGTGGGGTATTCAAGTCCCCTGCTATTATAGTGTTAGGGTCAATATCTTTTTTTAGTTTACTTAGTAGCTGCTTTACAAATGCTGTTGCTCCTGTGTTGGGTGCATGTATGTTTAGGATGGATATTTCTTGTTGATGGATTGAATCTTTTATCATTATGTAGTGTCCTTTAAAATTTTTGATAGCTTAAAGGTTGTTTTGTCTGATATTAAGATCACACCTCCTGCCTTCTTTTGTGGTTCATTTGCCTGGAAACTCACTTTCTATCCTTTAACTTTGAGTCTGTGTGTATCCCTGAAGTGAGATGAGTCTCCTGGATGCAGCAAATAATTGGGTCATGGTTTCTTTTTTTTTTTTTTTTGCTTTTGAT